ATTTGCTATTTCTACTTCTTTGTCTGAGAAATGTCTGTTCATTTCAGATGGCCATTTTTGAATTGGGTCTTTCAATTTGGAAGGTCTCACTTTTTGGTGCTTACTTTCTCACTCCATATGCTTGAAGAATCATTTTCCATCATTTTATTTTTCATCTGTATGTTTTTATGGATGAAGTGTTTTCCTTCCATGTGAGCACCAAATTTCAGCACAGTGATTTTAAAAAACAATCTCTAATAGACATAAAATATAAACACAGGGTTCCACAGGGTGGAACTTCAATGTCTCATATTTTGGTCATGCTTTAACTGAGAGTTAACATTTACAATGTTATTATTGAAATATATATGCTAATTACTGCCATTTGATTTTATTTTCAGGGTTTGATTCATTTCTGCATTTATGTAACTCCTCTCCCAGGGATATTTTTTCTTTCCTTGGATTTGTGAAGATTTCTTGCATCCTCATCTCTGTTTCAAGTTTTGTTACTTTGTTCTTCTTCAAAGTTAACATTTTTTTACTTTTATTAGTACATGTTTGCAAAAATAATGATTGTATTCATTGTAGGTTATTGGTGAATGCACATAACACATTTCAGTTCTATTGTTTTTCTCCCTACCCTCCACCCCCTTTTATTTTTTCAGCATTATTTTCATTTTTTTACTTTATAGGACTCTATAAAGTTGACTATCATATAAAGAGATTACAATTTTTTATTTATCTTTTGAAATTTTTCTTTATCTTTTAATCTTTGTTATTGTTTCCTTCTATTAATCTTGTGTTCCCTTTGTTGTATCTTTAATAGGTCCTTGAAGTGCATCATAAGCTTAGTTATTCAAAATCTTCAGAATTTTTATGCAGGTATTGCTATAAACTTCCTCTATAATATTATTTTTGCTGAATCCTTAGTTTCTTTTTGTATGTCATGAATGTCTCTTTGCATAGAAAAAGATAGGGCTGGGCAGGGCAATTAATAGATTAAAGAGAATGGAAACACTCACCTAATAAGAACCAAGTGAATAATGTAGAAAAAAATTATCAAGTTTATTTTATTGAAAATAAAAGTTTAGTTTTATTCATGTTTTAATTCTAGTTTCATTTGTTTATAGTTAAGAGCTCTATGAGTGAGGCAGAAAATTACTCTTCTTTTCCTAGATAATAGGTTCATAAGGTCTTGGGCTTATGCAAGTTCTAAAGGTTAAAATAAATCAAATTTTCTGACTTCCGTTTTAATCAATGAGTGATGAAATTATTAAGTTAATGTTTATTTTGAAAGTCACTGATTAGCATCATGCTGGCATACTGAAAAATGGTGCATGTCCAGTAAGCATGGAATGTGGTCAAACTGAATATTTTCCTTGAGATTTGTACTTATGATTTCAGCTCTACCATAGTCAGTCTATATCTTTTTGGGGTTTTTTTGTTTGTTTTCTTTTTTTTCTTAATTTCTGTTTTTGTTATTACATGATTACAGTATATAATGATTAGATTAATTGTGGGGCATTAGTACATGTACATAGTCATCTTAATTCTCTTTCACATCCTCTCCCTTCCCTTTACATGTGTTTAGCCAAGGCACTGGATCTGTGGGGGTCCAGCTTTCTCATACCAAAAATGGGATAACTTTACTTTAGTCAAATGTAATGATGAGTGTAAAAAGTGATGTAAGTGTGAATTTTTTTCTGTTAATTTAGAGAATCCCAATAAACAGGAGAAATAAAGTTTTTATATCTGGGATCTTGGCAACAAATAAATGTTCATTATGAAAAGTGCTTATTAATACCTAAGCTCACAAGTTTAAAACAAGTACAATGATACCTCGATAAGACACACCATTATACAAACATTAATATTAGCTATCTAGTCATCTATGTCAATCTAATGACACATACATTTATGAATACTAAACTTAGTCTCCCATTAGGATTTGAATATTGTGTCTTTATGAGCTGGAAGTCTCTTTAATGTAGTCCCAGACTCCCATCCACCTTGAAAGCACATGCCTGTTATTCTGTCACTGGTCTTGCTCCATTATTGTCCAATACTTTGTTCCATTATTTCTCACAAGGACCTACTAGAAATCAAGAAAAGCAGATCTATCTGGAATTGGCCAGGAGGCAAAGGAGCCAAGTTTTTCAGGCCCTTCTGATTTAGTTCTCTGATGAACAAATTTTGTCTCTTATTGATGAAAAGGTGTAAACTTTATCTGTGTAACTTTCTTTTGTATAATCTACAGCCCAGATGTCTTTGGAATGAAATTATGGCAATCAATTTAATGTGATTCCTGATATTCTATGAACAGAGTCAGTGTAGTGCATTCAGAGTAACTCTTTGGGGATTTTATTTTACTTTTAACTTGGCTTTTGAGACAACTGTGGTGTTGACCATCACGCACTACAATGGGGATTACAAATGTTCATTCAATTCCCTATGATCTGTGTGACATATTTCCTATTCTTCCTTAATCTTTTTCCCTACTTGACAAATAAAAGTAAGTTTTTTCTCCTTCGGTGTTTTAGGTGGCTTGATTATAAATGTCAGATATATGTATTTTGGTAGTTATTTGATATATGATTGGTTCTCAAAATGTATAACTGATGCTAGCTATTTTACATCCTGACAGTTATATTACTTTGGTATTTTAAGATATATAAAAGATTTTTATTTCCAGAGACAAACTATCCCATTGTTTGATTAAGTAAAACAGGTTAAATATATTATACGTAAATCTTATAATTTTTCCCCAAAAGCCCTGGGTACCCACTGGTCATTAGTATGAGAATTTATATTTTTAAGTATCTTTTAAATCTAGTAATTTTTAGCCAGACATGGTGGCACATGCCTGTAATCCCAGGACTAAGGAGGTTGAGCCAGGAGGATTACTGCAAGTTTGAGGCCAGCCTGTGCTACATAATAAGTTCTAGGCCAGCCTGAAATACATAGTGAGACAAAACTAATAATAAATAAATAGAGTAATCTTGTTCATTTTTTCTTAATCCTGGATGAACATTGGAGCCACCTGCAGTTCACAGCTTGTTTGTTTTTTTTAAGTAGCTCTGATATTTATCCCAGAAACACTGAACTAAAATGCTAATGATAAGTATTTGGCAGGGAGAGCAAGAGTAAAGATCATCTTTTCTTTATCAAGAAGCCAAAGTATCATCTAAAATGATTGCATCTTATCTTCCTGGATGCTTCATCACTTTGTATTTCAAAAGAATATCCTGGTTTAACAGGGAGCATTATAAAAACATTTGCTCACAGGTGACTCAGTAAGAACAGAAGCTTCAATGGAGCCAGTCGTTGTCCTAGTGCTATGTCTCTTCTGTCTCCTTTTTCTTTCACTCTGGAGACAGAGTTCTGGGAGAAGGAAGCTCCCACCTGGCCCCACTCCTCTTCCAATAATTGGAAATATCCTGCAGATAGATGTTAAAAATATTGTCAAGTCCTTAACTAATGTAAGTATGTTTTAAGCTCCTCTTGTGACTTGCAAATAGTAAGTAAATTAATCATTATTTTAAACTTAAATATATTTCTGGATCAAATTATTTGAAGAGATTATTGTACAGCCGATACTTTCTGTGAGGTTCCAGTTTGCTTGGTTTTTAAATCTTGCCATTGTTACAATAGTGAGATAAGGTAGTGCATTTGCAATGAGAAACACAAATTGTCATAAGAAACAATAAAAATAATAAAATGGCAAAAATCTGTAGTGTTCCAGCCCTTCATTGTTTCATAGTCATTTTCTATGATTGTTTACTTTTTGCTGAAGCTAAATTATAATTACTGTTTTTGTAACAAGAAATGTTCCTCAAGAAGTTATCAGTGGCATGACCTATAGCCTTGATGGTGAACCTATGGCATGTGTGCCACAGTGGGCATGCAGAGCCCTCTCTACAACAATGTCACAACTATATTCTAAACTAGAACCTAGAATTCAGGTTTAATTACAGGGTTGGTATTTTGTGCTAAATAAGTGGGTTTGGGGTTGTAAAGTGGTCTCTCACAGGTTCACCATCAGTGACATATGTCTTATTAAAATTACTCATGAAAATTAATTTCCCTGAAAAAGCAAATTATATTTGACATCAAGAAATAACTATGTGATAGTGAAGTGGTACAATAGGAAATCCATCAGTAGAAGTTATGATTATCATTTTATAAAAAATTCAGAAATAATTGAAATCAAGTATATAGCACAATAAAAATATAGCAAATAGAATTTCAGTAACCTTCTGAAGCAATCAAAATTTGTAGATCAAATAGAGATTTACTTTGGTAATGTTTATATTTTCTGTTTTTAATTTTTCTTAGTACATGTTTTTAGCACATATGTTTACATTCCTTCTGTGGAGTTGGTATATGTACATAACACAATTTAATTTCTTTTTTATCCCCTTCTCTCCTACCTTCTCTGCTCTCCATTTCTTGATCCCCTTCCCATCTGAGAAAGAGCTATCTCCATACTTCCTACTGTTTATCTTTTATTTTGCTCTTTATTTCTTTCTCACTTCCAGCTCTCAAAAGTCTATGGTCCTGTATTCACCTTGTATTTGGGAGTGAAGCCTGCTGTGGTGCTGTATGGGTATGAAGCAGTGAAGGAAGCCTTGATTGATGTTGGGGAGAACTTTGCTGGACGAGGGAATTTCCCAATATTTGAAAAAGTTAATAAAGGCCTTGGTAAGTGTGCATGTTCATGTGTGTGCACATTTATGTGTTGGGCAGTGGTCACGGGGATGAAAAGGATAGAAGATTGGAAGAGCTCTGCAGGCATGACTTGGCCATCTGTGTGGATGCCATATGTCAGTTTCCTCTTCATTACCCATGTGTTCCTTGTACTTCTTCCCCTTTTAGGATTAGTTTTTAGCAGTGGAAAGGAATGGAAAGAGATTCAGCGCTTCACCCTCATGGCCCTGCGGAATTTTGGGATGGGGAAAAGGAGCATTGAGAACCGTGTTCAAGAGGAAACCCGCCACCTAGTGGAGGAGCTGAGAAAAACCCGCGGTGAGGGACTATTAGTTACATTCATAGTCACTAGTCTCTTTTCTAGTGAGGTCCTGGAAATATTTTAGGGGCAGTCAGAATTTTCGTTCTGTATCTTGGCTGTGAAACCTCAGAGATAAGTGGTAGTTGAAGCAGAGAGCCAGAGATTGTGTGTATCTATGTTGCATGTAGACGTAACTCTCCACACAATAGCTATTAACCCTATTGTGGTTCAAAGATTTTTTTTTTCAAATCAGAATTTATTAATATAGGATTTGCATTTTTTTCCAAAGTTAATGAGCAGTGTTTCCCCACACCATAAACTGTGGTAACATATTCCAGATCACTTTACTGGATATACTTAAGTGAACACCAAGGCAATGACACCAGCACACATTTATGGAGCCCAAACAAGTTGACATCCACCTTAATTTATTTGAACACCATTTGTATGGCCAACTTTACCTGCATGTCTCAGGATTTCTTCTTAGACCATGAATATAATTCTGTTTGGTAATGATATAGTACATGCTTATAATTGCCTTTTCATATCTTAATAGAATTATCAACAATTATTATTTCTTGTAAACACAATTTTAAAATTATCATTAATTATTTAGTCTTAGTAGCATTTTGGTTTATATGATTTGAGAAAGATGATATAGCATAAATCTGCAAAATTCATAAACAGCAATTTATAAAAATAATTTATATACCTATTTTTAACTATTGTTGTTAAGTTTATCTAGTTTTCCTTAAGTGTATTCTGATACTAATCTATGAAGTATTTCTTCCAATGAATTCATCAGCTTAGATTTTGAATTACTTGTTTTTAAATTTTCTCTCTCAAATGAAGTGAAAGAAAAGATGAAAAATTAGATTTTACCTAAGAATGACACACATGTACACAAACATGATTCCCAAGGGTTCTGAAATTACTCCCACTTCTTTGACTAAAATAAAAGTTTTTCTAAAAGTTTGCTCCCAGTTATGTTTAAATAAATTGGGCCACAAGCAGACAACTCATTAGGTTTCTTATGGTTCAATTATTCTAATATTTATTCAGAATACTTTTGCCTACAGTCGCTTTTATTTAGGGTCTGTTCATGTGAATTTGTGAGCCCATTACACATAAAATATGTCAATATTTGATTATATTTGTTTTACTATAGAGATATCACACAAAAGGAAATCTAACTTATAATTTAACCTTTTTACCTATGTATGCAACACTTCACCTAAGTGATAAAATTTAAAATTTATGAAAACTTATTTTGTTGATGACAATATAGAACAATATCCTGAATCCAAACTATCTTTTAAAAAATAAATAAGCAGTTTACTTGGACATGATAGGCATTTACTTCGAAAGAAGATAAATTCATTTTTAAAAAAGGGATGGGAAAAGCATTGACATCCATTGACTTTGTGCTTTTCTTTGCTTTAC